AACAAATGATAATTAGAGCAGAAATAAATACAGAGTAGGCCAAGCGCGGTGGCTCAAACCTGTAATCCCAGCACTTTGGAAGGCCGAGGTGGGTGAATCACTTGAGGTCAGGAGTTTGAGACCAGCCTAGTCAACACGGTGAAACCCCATCTCTACTAAAAATACAAAAATTAGCCAGGCGTGGTGGTCCACACCTGTAGTCTAAGCTACTTGAAAGGCTGAGGCAGGAGAATCGCTTGAATCCAGGGGGTGCAGGCTGCAGTGAGCCGAGATCACATCACTGTACTCCAGCCTGGGAGACAGAGTGAGACTGTGTCTCAAAAAGAAAAAAAAAATACAAAATAGAAAAACAATAGAACCAAACAAAAAGTTGGCTCTTTGAAAAGATCAACAAAATTGGCAAGTCTTAGCTAGAATAATTAAGAAAAAAGATGACTATGGGCTGGGCGCGGTGGCTCAAGCCTGTAATCCCAGCACTTTGGGAGGCCAAGGCAGGCGGATCACGAGGTCAGGAGATCAAGACCATCCTGGCTAACACGATGAAACCCCGTCTCTACCAAAAATACAAAAAATTAGCCGGGCGTGGTGGCGGGTCCGGGAGGCAGAGCCTGCAGTGAGCCGAGATAGTGCCACTGCACTCCAGCCTGGGTGACAGAGCAAGACTCCGTCTCAAAAAAAATTAAAAAATTAAAAAAAATTTTTTAAAAAAGATGACTATGAAAGAGAAAAAAATCAAATTACTAAAATCAGAAATGAAAAATAGGGGCCGGGCATGGTGGCTCACACCTGTAATCCCAGGACTTTGGGAGGTTGAGGCAGGCAGATCACTTGAGCCCAGGAGTTCAAGACCAGCCTGGGCAACACGGCAAGACCCCATCTCTATAAACATTTTAAAAATGAGCTGGCTGGGCCTGGTGTGGTGGTTCACGCCTATAATCCTAGCACTTTGGGAGGCTGAGGTGGGCAGATCACTTGAGGTCAGGAGTCCGAGACCAGCCTGGGCAACATGGTGAAACCCCGTCTCTACTAAAAATACAAAAATTAGCCGGCCATGGTGGTGTACACCTGTAATTCCAGCTACTCGGGAGGCTGAGGCAGGAGAATTGCTTGAACCTGGGAGGTGGAGTTTGCAGTGAGCGGAGACCGTGCCATTACACTCCAGACTGGGCAGCAGAGCAAGACTCTGTCTCAAAAAAAAAAAAGAAAAGAAAAAATGAGCTGAGTGTGGTGGCACATGCCTGTAGTCCCAGCTACACAGGAGGCTAAGGTGGGAGGATTGAGATGCAGCCTAGGAGGTCGAGGCTACTGTGAGCTGTGACGGTGCCACTGCACTCCAGCATGGGCGAAAGAGTGAGACCCTGTCTCAAAAAACAAGAGAAAGAGTCAGGGTTGGTGCCACACAATAAGGCTATCCCCACAACAGACAAGATGAGCCGCGAGAATGGTGTTGAGAACAGGCGCCGTCAGCGCCGGCAGCAGCTGGAGCTTGCTGGTGAGCACTTTTCTGGGGCAGTCACTGGCTGTGCTTCTAGTCCATTCTGAAGTCTAAGAATGGCCACCATAAAGGAACTTTTTTTTTTTTTTTGAGATGGAGGTTCACTCGAGTGCAGTGGTGCGATCTCGGCTCACTGCAAGCTCTGCGTCCCAGGTTCACGCCATTCTCCTGCCTCAGCCTCCAAGTAGCTGGGACCACAGGCGCCCGCCACCACACCCGGCTAATTTTTTGTATTTTTAGTAGAGACAGGGTTTCACCGTGTTAGCCAGGATGGTCTCGATCTCCTGACCTCGTGATCCGCCCACCTCGGGCTCCCAAAGTGCTGGGATTACAGGCGTGAGCCACCGCGCCCGGCCAGAACATTTAAGACCAAAGAAGGAAAAAGCTGCAGAACAAAACTTCCTATTTCTGAATAAATCCATTTACGGCTTCAGTGCCCAGCAAGAGGGCTGGCTAAACTGCAGCTGGTGCCAGAACCAGCAAGTCCCGGACCCATCCCGGATGACACCACGGTCCAGTGAGAAGAGCAGCGCAGACCCCAATCTTGGGACGCTCTCGGCAGGCAGGTGCTCCTTCCGAGCGATGGGAAGGCTCGGAAGGCGCCTGGCACTTCTCCAAGACGGAAATGGAAATGGGGGAAGGGACATTTCCTATCGCTTCGCCGACAGTAATAAACATGTTATTTCTCTGCAGTTTTTTAAAAGAATGTTAACACTTTTTAGAACCAAAATGGGATGACGCTGGCTATCATCACTGGTGGCCCTCGAAGATGGCCTTCCCTGCCACTCCCCACTCCCTGCACTAGGGCTTGTTCTGCCCTGTAAAGGGCTGGGCAGTGCCTGGTAGAGAGGGGGCCAGCCCCACGCCGCTGTGGCCGGGAGTGAGCAGCTCTCACCTGGCAGAGGGAAAACGTGGCAGACACGACCCCAATCAAGACGTTCAGCACATCTTTCACCAGCTCACACTCCTTCACCAGCACGGGCTGTGGGGCCTGTAGGACGCCCCCAGCAAGCAGTTGAAGCTCCCCTTGGCGGAGCCTGCAGAACTTGTCGAAAGCGTCCCTTCCCGCCTCTGTCAAGTAAGGCTCCTCTCTGTGGCCAGGGGGGCTGCAAGGGGGGCAGAAGAGAGGCCATGAGCAGACGTGATGACCTGCACCTCAGCACCCGCATATTTTCTCTCGGGAATGGGCACGAACAGAAGAACGGAAGTGATTCAAAACAATAAACTCTAAGAAATGCAGCCATGTACAAATGCCAACTCACCACCCAGCCTTTTGTGGATGATACTGCTGTGAACACCAGCACAATCAATTCTATCAGGACAACTCATGTGGAAATGTGTCCAGGGCACCTGCCTGGGGTCCTGGGCACGGCCGGGGGTATCCGACAGGCCCAGCCCTGGAAGAGCACCCCAGGCCACGCCAGTGGCCCTTAGGGTGGTGACTCACTCATAAAGTATTCTTCTGTTAGAAACAAAACAAGGTTTGTACACCCATGTACACAGCAGCATCCACAACCCTGTTCATGGCAGCATCATCCACACTCAAGTCCACGGCAGCATCATCCACGCCCCTATCCATGGCAGCATCATCCACACCCCTATCCACAACCCCGTCCACAGCACCATCCACACCTGTTCACGACAGCATTATCCACACCCAGGTCTGTGGCATCATCCACACCCCTGTCCACAGCAGCATCAGTCACACCTGTCCAGGGCAGTATCCACACCCGTCCACGGCAACATCATCCACACCCTTATCCACTGCAGCATCATCCACACCCCCATCCACGGCATCATCCACAGTCCCGTCCATGGCAGCATCATCCACACCTCTGTCCACGGCAGCAGCACCCACATCCCTGTCCATGGCAGTATCCACACCCCTGTCCATGGCAACATCATCCACACCCTTATCCACTGCAGCATCATCCACAGTCCCGTCCATGGCAGCATCATCCACACTCCTGTCCACGGCAGCATCCACACCCGTTCACGACAGCAGCATCCACATCCTTGTCCACGGCAGCATCCATGCCCAGGTCCATGGAAGCATCCACATGCCTGTCTACAGCAGCACCCACACCCCCATCCACAGCAACATCATCCACAATAGCCAGGGGTAGAGGAGCCTGAGCACCCAGCAGAAGAGGATAAATACAGGTGGCCCATGCAGACCCCCGCCCATCATTCAGCCTTATAAAGGAAGGCAGCTCAGACACATGCTCCAGAAAGGACGGCACTCAAAGACGCCACATGGAGTGCACTGAGCCATCACAAAACAGTCTCCACGGGGACAGCGCTCGAGGATGCCGCGTGGAGTGCACTGAGCCATCACAAAACACTGTGTGACTCCTCTTACATGAGGTCCCTACAGTGAACAAAATCCTAGAGACAGAAAGTGGAGGCCGGGCGCGGTGGCTCACACCTGTAATCTCAACACTTTGGGAGGCCAAGAAAGGCAGATCACGAGGTCAGGAGTTCAAGACCAGCCTGGCCCACATGGTGAAACCCTGACTCTATTAAAAACACAAATACTAGCCAGGCATGGTGGCAGGCGCCTGTAATCCCAGCTACTCGGGAGGCTAAGGCAGGAGAATGGCTTGAACCCAGGAGGTGGAGGTTGCAGCGAGCCGAGATCGCGTCACTGCACTCCAGCCTGGGCAACAGAGCAAGACTCCGTCTCGGAAAAAAAAAAAAAAAGTGGAGTGAATGGGAAGCTGTTTAATGGATTCAGAGTTTCCTGCAGATTTGCTGTGCAGCAGTGAAAATACACACAGCATTACAAAGCGGTACAACTGGTTAAGACGGTAAAAACATTATATAAATTTTACTACCCCACCTCAAAAAAACTAAGAGATGGATACAGGAAAAAAACTCACAAATTTTCTCTTTTTTTTTTTGAGATGGAGTTTGAGACCAGCGTGACCAACATGGAGAAACCCCATCTCTACTAAAAATACAAAATTAGCCAGGCGTTGTGGCGCATGCCTGCAATTCCAGCACTTTGGGAGGCCAAGGCGGGCAGATCACGAGGTCAGGAGATTGAGACCATCCTAGCTAACATGGTGAAACCCCATCTCTACTAAAAATACAAAAAAATTAGTGAGCCAAGATCACACCACTGCACTCCAGCCTGGGAAACAGAGCGAGACTCCGTCTCAAAAAAAAAAAGAAAAAGAAAGAGGGAGAGGGAGAAAGGAAGGGGAGAGGGAGAAAGGAAGGAGGGAGGGAGAGAGAGAGAGAAAGAGAGAGAGAAAGAAAGAAAGAAAGAAAGAAAGAGAGAGAGAAAGAAAGAAAGAAAAGAAAGAAAGATAGATTGATTTATGAGGGAGAGTTTGGGGGCCTTAGTTTGTTTAGGATGAAAGGAGTTGCCTAATTATGG